AAAAAAAACGGTATTTTGTTGATGTTATTTAAATTAGGTCATTGTCCGAAAAATATTACATTTCCAGCCTCATTAGAGAGAGAGAGAGGGAGAAAGAAAACACATACGACTCCTAGTTCACGTGAGTACAATTTTCCCTTAGTAATGCGATTTGCCTTCCCTATTTTAGCACGAAATGCTACCTGCACATAAATCGCCCTTTAGACGTGTGTTTAATATAAAAAACTGTACTCTAATTGGGAAGTACCTCGTGTTCTTATCTCAGCTCTTTTGTTATCTTTAATTCAGTCAAAACTAACGGGGACTTTTCTAATTTATCTAATTTATCCCAATAAATAATTACCTGCCCGGCAGGAAGATTCATATATCCAGTCAGCTTGACAGCCTCTACGTACTCGAAGAAATCAACATCAGAAGACATATCATCTTTATGTGTGTTCCAATTACCATATTTACGCCTTAATTGTATGACCTCAGGTCCATGTGGGCCAAAAGAACCAACATAAAGTCCTGCAGTTGACAAATAAGCATCGAAAATGAAAAATGCGCACATTTAACCATAATTTCACGTGCACTGCAAACAAACTCACCATCGAAAGGATCTAAATCACCATTGTAAGTCACGATCCGACTAAAATTAGTATACTCGGACAGTTTATTTCGTTTCTGTGCTTGACTGACTGCACGCTTCACTAGTTCACGTATGTCTTTGGAGACCTATAGGAAATTAAGGTAAAAAAAAAATCATGGATATAGATAACTAAACAAGTGCTTAACATTAATGGGAAGAATAACAAATATCTGAATAGAAAATTTTCAGTCTCTGTAACCTTATAACGATGATGTACTTTATTCATAATCAAGATGTAATGATGTCGGCACATAAATAAAAATAATCATAGTTTGGTCACAAAGTATCAAAGTCTTACTTATGCTGATATAAATGATTTATTTCCTTGTATAATTAATTTAGCTAGGTCTTAAAGGAAATGGGTCATTTTGAATTTCCCTTTTTATATTGTATATTTATGTAAAGATTAACCCTTTATAGATGTGTAGTTCTGAGGTGTTTTACTCACAGAATTAAAGTTAAAATTCTCTTGAAGTTATGAACTTAAAATAAATAAATATTAAATTTACTCTAAGAAAAACGGCTCAAAAGCCCAAAGCTCTAGTCAGATATGTATTGAAGAAAGCTTTAAAATTTATCTGCAAAGTGCAAAAGTGCAAGTCAAATTCATTTAAATTTAATACCTTAGGAGAAACTTTATCCGAGCTCCAAAATGCATTGGCAACCTCAGGAGGCATAAGTTCCGAAATACCTTGTGAAACTAGTGCAGCCACCTTATCTTTAGACACACTATCTTCTTCAGTATTATCATTATTATTATCGTGATATCCCTCATGAATATGCAACACAAATGAATCCCTCTCAACATTCTCAATATCAGCCGGAACACGAACATACTCATCCTTAGCGAGACTGTCTTCTCTATTATGCAACACACCTCCAATGTAGAGCTTTACGTCTAAATCACCTGCGTTTTCTATTGACTCACCATTTTCTTGTGCTGAAGCTCGATCTGTGTTATCGTTATCACTATCTTCTGTGTTAACTTTATCATTGGTTTCGTTCTCATTTTCTTCTTCAATAAACTGTTTCAAATTATCCTCGATCATATCCTCAGTAGTAATGTCGACCCGTGTCACTTTGAACTTAAGTTCTGGGATTTTTTCATTTAGAAAATTTATGACGCTCTTTATTCCTTCCTCGGTACCTTCTTCCAAATCAATGTTCTTATCTTCTCCTTTTTCCACATCAATTATGGATGAATTTTTGTCTTCAACCACGGAGGACCCTTTGGTGGATTTATCAGTCGAGGAGCTCGAATTTGCTGAATTTCCTTTGACCGTTTTTAGAAATGCGACCTGTGGAGATGCACAGAAGCAGAAGCATTTATGAGGCAACTCAGAATTGGTATTACTGTAACATATACTGAGACATAGCATTCATTATTTTGAAAAAAAAAAAAAAATGTCCGATTGTTAGTTTTTTGTACTAAGTTTAATCTAAAACTTGTCAAAATCATCCACTGATAATGAAGCAAAACAAGTCGGGTGATGAGACCTACGTTTTGAAATCTCGCAACAGAACTTGATTGAAAGGCCATAATAATAACTGAAATAATAAAAATAACACTTTTATCTGAGTACCGACTGCACATATATATATTCTTCTCAGAATATCATATCATAATACATTTTCAGCATATCTAACTTTCACATATAGAGAACCCCACAAAAATGCTAGAAAAAAAATATTACAAAAAAACAAAAATAATTTTTTGACAATTTCTATTAAACAATTATACAAAACTGCAATCTACACCTGCATTTTATATCCTTCGTTGTCCTTAACAACAAATATCTCAAACAGTGGAGTTCCAGGAGATGTTGTGATCAACTGCCTGCAACAATTAGGCATTACTATAGACTCTACGCGTACATATAAAGAGTCTTGATCTTAATTCTTTGAATTTTACAGTTATCACCTTGGACTATAACATTTTCCTATAAATCTGCCTGTTCCGGGTGTGATCTGCACTAATGTCCCGTCACCCAAGTCCTTTGAATAGCCAACCCACCAACCAATCTGAAGGGAAAAATGCTCTTTTATCAATCAATAAAACAAATTTTGAAAATAATCCAAATCAGGAATATCAGCAAGTGCCGTGAATAGAATTATTACCAGTCCACTTCCTGTATTTCGGCATAATCTCGAAGCATCATGGTAACGCTCTTCGTCAATTGCACTCTACAGCAAATAGCTAAAGATCAATATGAGGAACATTTTTTCAAATTATGAAAACTTAAACGATCCATTTACATTACCTTCAACTCAGACATAATTTCAGCAATACTGTCTTTGGATGTAGTCTCTGCAATGGCTGTCTTCAACTTAGCAGCTTCCCCAAAGTCTTCCTTCTCTATTGCATCCTCTAACTGAAACTGAAAATCACAAAAATCCAGCCTTACAATTGTAATTGTCGTCTAACACTCTTAACTTATCTACATTACTCCACCATGTTAGACAAACAATTTTCGACAATGATGTAACAATTAAGCTCTTTCGAAAATTTTTGAGACTGATCGACAATTTACAGCAAAGATTCAAACTTCGATAAGAGAAATCAATACCGTGCATCTGAGGCACCAAAATCATTCATCCACAACCTCTTTTTCAACCTTTCTCTTCCAAATAACCACTACAGATAATCTTTCTCGAATAGATGACCACGCGAACACAACATTTAAGACATGGGCAGCACACAAATTTAACTATAATTGAGAAAATAGCTTTAAGCGCAAACAACATACACAAGACAAAAACTTTAAACATTATCAGTATCAGAAAAAACCCCACAACAAGAAAGTTACTCTCTTTTACAACTCAAAAGGATCACGGAATCGAACCTTGAGAACAGAGGCATAGTTCTCAGCCTGCTCGACCTCAGAAAAATGGCGGGTCCACCTGTTCCAGTCCCAATCCTCAGACGGCGATGACGATGAACAAGGCGAGGACGAAGAATAGAAACCCACACCATCGCCGCCACAATCGGCGCCGTCCTCGAGATTGCAGCTGCAGCGGCTAGATAAATTGAAATCCCTTCTTCTTGTGATGTGAAATTTATCGGGCAAATTGAGGGATGATCTTTTCCTCAAGAGGGAGCTGAAGGTTTGAGGGGTGGCGGTGGAGGAGCGGCGGAACTGCCGCGGAGGCACGGCCGAGTTCCCCGTGGCCGAAGCGTTGGCCACAGCCATTTTTGGCTGCCTCTGCTTATGGAGCTGAGTGAAATTCTTGTTCTGGTGAGGGAGTGAGACGAATAATTTCTGTTATGGTCCTTATGGATAGGATTTTTTGTGCTTCTTTGTGAATATGAAAGTATTTGTCAAATAATTAGAATAGATTCATCAAACAAATAGAGCAGTTCACTTGCCAAACGAGTCGAGCGGCTCGGGAGCGCTCGAGTCAAAGCTTGACTCAAACTCAAGTTTGACCGAACTCGAGTCGAGTTCGAGCGGCTCGAGCACGAGTTCGAGCCCTTATTTTGCATTGTCGAGCGGCTAGTCGAACGGTTTCGATATATATTAAATTACTAAAATACCCTTTATATGTATATTTAAATAGTATAACAGAAGTGCTTAATAGTAATTTCACTTAAAATTTTCGAGTCGAGCTCGAGCATTTGATTTCGAGTCAGGTCGAGCTTTGTATCTTCTTATCGAGTCAAACTCGAGCTCGAGCAGCTAAAAAAAAAATTCAATCCTGCTCGATAAGGCCAATGCTCGACTCGGCTCGACTCGTTTGCAGCCCTACTTGCCAGGAGTTAAAGTTCGACTCAGAGTTGGAGTAACTAGTTTGTAAGTCGAGTGCTCGACGCAATGTTTCAATATATGTAAAATTATTAAAACAGACATATTTTTAGTTAAAATTTATGTAAAATTATTAAAATAGTCATATTTTTAGTTAAAATTTGAACCAAGCTAAACGAATCCGAGTTGATCTCGAGTCGACTTCAATTTTTGTATTTCTCATTGTCGTGTCAAATCGGACCTTAAGAAGCTCGGCTTGTTGAGCCCGATCGATCGTAAAAGGTCAATGTTGGATTAGGATCGACTCATTTGCAATGCTAATCAAAATTATGTTTCTTTTTTCTTTCATTTTGTTGGATCAACACACATATAAAGATTGATTAGTGTCGTCGTTGATTTTTTACCGTTAGATTAACACACACATACCATTAGATCAAAACATACACCAAAACACACATGTATATTGATCCAACAGTTAGTGTGAAATCTACCCATTTTGACATAATTCTATCAATAGCAAACTAATATATAGCTACAAATCAGAATGAGTCTAGCACCACAAAAAGCCCAAAGAGCAAATGCAATGAACAGTGTACAACTCTACAAAAAATTACATCATGCAAGCCCTCATGAACAAGACACATCCCCTCACCTGATTTTCTTTACACCACTCACAATTGCATATTTTTTCTAATCAAAAGCTGTATTTCAAATTACATTCTTCAATCCCACATCAGTTCTGAGTTACTATAGTTAGACCATCCGTAAAAACCCGGTTAAAAGAGGCACGGAGCGCCAAGAAAACGGCTCAGGCCCGAGGCAGGCCCGACTCCCCAACCACCACTACCACTTCTCCAGTTGGCCCCGCATTCTCAGCCCGTACGGGCCGGATCAAGCCCTGCAGCCTCAGCAGGTAGCTCTGGCTCGTGGGCTGGCTCCTCACGTACCGGGCTGCCGTGACCACGTTGACCGGGGCCCGCACGGGCTCCGTCTGGATATTGGACAGCGCACTCAAATCGAGGTTCGGAAAAACCGAGCATCGGCACCTGGGGCATTTCACGTTCAGCCTGAGCCACTGGTCGATACACTCCACGTGGAAGTTGTGGGCACACGGGAGGCCACGAACCTTGCCATTTTGTGTGTTGGTAATAATTTAATAAGTTTTTCGCGATTTCGAAAATAGATAATTAAGACATGAATTTTATCTAATTAGGACCGAAAGTAATGTGATGTACCTCATTTCCAACATGAAACTCTTCCAAGCAAATCGGGCACTCACTGCAATCGGTAGGAACGGCTTTCATCATGAACTTTGGAAGTTCTTGAATTAGTGCTTCCACTGCCTCTCTCTGCATATGATATGAAAGATAGTTCGAGAAAATTTGTTCATGTTAGGGTTAAAAAAAAAAAAAAATGCTTATTCCAATTCCAAGGACTATTTAATAATAATTTACGATAATAGAAAATACTGAGTTGCAAATTATCCTTCAGAATCATATGTACCGTCTCGCTATATGGTTCTGTAGTTCAAATTAATGTCTTGAGGAGTTTAAATTAAAAGGCCACACACAGAACTCAAAGAGGTAATGTCTGAAAAAGGTCTATCAAATTTTATATTTCCAATTATCCACAACTCAATGTCGATTACATGATAATCAATAAGGAAATAAAATGTCCATAACTCGAGCAAATTCTATTTGTTACCTGGGCTGGGGTCAAGTAAAGTCCAGGATGATAAGCAGCTGCATCTTGGCCCATCACTCTCATCTCTTGTCCAGCAGCTTCAATAGCCCAATCTGGAACTCTAACCATGTCAACCACAACCTTAAACCCAAAAATCGAGTTCGACAGGTCAAATTAGAGGTAAATTGTAGGAAAAAAAGGTTAATATGATAGTGAAGTGAATACATTCAAACAAGCAAAATCCCAAGAAGATGTAAGGCCAAAAACACTATAAGAATGTTACGAATTCAAAAAATTAAAGTATGAAATCTACATATGTGAAGTCTGCATCTCATGAGCTCATTGTACTAAAAAAAGACAGTCTCAGAACATCTTCGATTTTGAATGTAATTAGTTAAAACGGAGCTCACTCCATATTCTGAAACGGGAATCCCTTGTTGTGCACGCAATTGATGTGCCTGCCTTCTCGTTAACCACTGCCAAAAAAAAAAAACAAGGTCAATAGAGCT